AAAATGAGAAGACTACTGAGGTAAGCAAAGAAGAAATTATAGAATCCCAGAATTTGTGGATAAAAATTCAACCATGGTGGCGGGGGTGGGGGGGCGGGGTATGTAGTTTAGTTGAACTCTGGGTTGCCACTGGTCTTCTTGGTGTTGGAATCCTCCAGGAACTCCCTATGGACTCCAGCCCTGGCCCATCCCTGGCCCGCTGGCCCACCTCCCGCAGGCCCCAGCCAGCCCTGATGCGGTTTCTGTTTACATGTCAGCGATGCGTCTAGGATGACTTCTTGGGAACAGCTGGCGAGGTCCCACTAGGAGCTATCACAGTTTGACACCCAGAAAGCTCTGTAAATTGTCCAGGCTGGTCTTGGCTGGCCTGCAGGTATCAGTTGGCCAAGTAAGAGCCAGGCCGGAAGCACATGTTCCTTAGATGACCTGGGGCGTGGTTCCAGGACACTGGGTAGTAGATAGATACAGGGTTGGCATAGAAGTGGGAGGACCTGTCTGGGATCCCCCACACCTGGCCCTGGGGACAGTGCAGGCTCATTGCAAGGTAGATGTTGTGGCCAGCTATCCCGTGGCCAGCTGGAGCCTCTAGGTGAATGTCTATGACATCAGGGACACCAGGGTGGGCTTGGTGAGTAGTCTAGATCTAGTGTAGGTCTGGGGACCTGGGAGCTTCTGAGCCAGGCGCTCCCTGGACACTGTTCACTTTCTCCTCCCTCAGACCTTCCCTGAGGGCAGGCCCTGTCACCACTGCAACTTGACAGGCGGAAAATGAACAGTGATGTCTAGGGACATTACCTGTAGACTATGATGCCACGTTTGTTCAGTTTTTCAGCTGGTCAGTCAGAGGGACTCCCAGACTTTGGGTGAGAACTCTGACCTTGAAACTAGAATGCTTTGGAGCCACCTCCCCTTGTGTCTGTGACTTCAGAAAATTACCTCCCAGGGTCTCTCAGGCTCTCCCAGCTCCTCCTTTCTAAAAAGAGGGCTGTGGGGGTCCCTGTGTGGGTCTCCCGTGCTTCCTGGGTACCCTTCCTCCCTCCTTCCTAACTCTCCCGCCATCCTCCATCGGTCAGTCTGTCTGTCTGTCTCTCTCTCTCTATTTCTCTCTTCCTTTATGGCCTCAGAGGGGGACCCAGCACGTCAGAGCTGTTAGCCATCCTGGACTGGGGTGAGAGGTGTCCCAGTGTAACGAGGCTGAGCAGGCACCAGGATACCCAGGCTGAGCCAGGGCCTCTGCGGATTCCTCAAGCTTGGGGCCTCGCACCTCCCCTGACTTCCAGGCCCGGAGTCCTCTCTGCCTAGCAAGACAGGGCTGGCCTCAGCCAGGCCAGGGGCTGAGGGCAGGGGATGCTGACCTCTCTGGGTCGGTCAGCTTCTAGTCCTTGTGAACAAGATGCCAACAAGAACAACTCAAAGGAGGAAAAGTAAAATTCAGCTCATAGTTTCCAAGGTGCAGTCTGTGGTGGGCCAGCTCCACTGCTCTGGGCCCAGGCAGAGGCAGAACATCATGGCGGAAGGGTGTGGGGAGGAAAGCTACTCTTCATGGAAGCCAGGAAGCAGAGAGGGGGGAGGAGGCAGGATGATGTCCCCTTCCTGGGCAGTCCCAGTGACCTGCCTCCCCAGCCACGCCCCACCTGCCCACTGTTCCCACCCAGGAAGTTGCATTCAAACCAGGAGAGACCCATAGGGTCACAGCTCTCACAATCCAGTCATTTCATCTCTGAACATTCCTGCACTAACCCAGGAGCTTTGGGGGGACGCTTCATATCCAAGCCACGATGTCCCCTGTGGCTGGAGAGTCACTGGTAGGGGACTCCTGAGCCTGTGCAGCCTCGCCCCAGCCTGAGCCCAGGGCAGCCTTTGTCTGTCAGGGCCCTGTCGCCCCACCCCTGCCCTGTCGCCCCACCACTGCCTGACCCCTCTTTCCTCAGGGACCACTTGTGGAGATCCTGCCCTCTGCCCAGAGGAACCCATTTTCAGAGGCTCAGTTCTCAAGGGTGGAGGTTCAAGGGCATAGGGACCCTGCCCCAGTGTCCCCTGGAGAGGAAGGAGGTGGGAAGGAGGACACCAGAACCACAGGAACCCTGGTGAGAGGAAGGTGGGAGCTGCAGTCTTGCCACCATAAGCACTTCCAGCCCCCTGGCCAGCACCCCACTGCCCTGCCTTTCCCCTCCCAGATCGCTTGGGCCTGGGGCTCAGCCACAGTGGTGGGGTGGGGGCCTGGAGCAGCAGCAGG